ATTGTCCCTTCCAGGAAACCGTAAGTAGTCCCTAGACCGTCACACAGGGTATGTGAGGAGTGTTGGAAGATGGGGCTGAACAGTAAGTACTGTGCTTCTTCATACGGGGTCCGTGTGCCTGTGAGTTACAGGGAGCCACTGCAGGATTTGAAGGTAGGAATAATGAGATCCTGGGCTGTATTTGGGGAAGTGGATTGAAGGGAGAGAGTATGGAGGCCAGGAAGCCCTATCCAGAGATAAGACTTAGTTTCTCACTATCTCTGCGTGAAATAATTGGTGTCTCAGCTCAGCCAACCAGCAGCTGTTTACCTAGTGCCTATGTTGTGATACAGTCCCGTGCTTTGAACGTCTGAAGGCTCACTGCTTTTCAGGGCTGGATAGATCCTGCTCAGGGTGCTCCCTGATGAAGCGGCTGTCACTGACCTCCTCGTTCCCTTTGTCCCCTGCGATCTTAGTGCCGTAAATACTTCCAGAAGTCCTGTGCCTGGGTCTCTTGAGAGCCACCGGTTACACACATGCCAAGTTCTTTAATTAATTTTATTTTTTACATGAAAAGTTCAGTAAAAATTGGGTAAAGACTACAGAGACGGCTCAGGAGGACCCTGGAAGTTGTACATTGAAAAGGGTCCTACGCTGGCTCTTCTTCCACCAGCTGTCACACCATGCTTCCATCGCTTCCAACTCCTGTAGTAGGAATCAAATGAAATGCAACACTTACAGAATCTTAGTAACGGTCAGTGACTAAGTGCCTGCATTTCCTGCATTTGCTGAGCTCCTAGAAGCACTGGAACACCCTGCCTCCAGGAGCCAGAGAACTTAACTACAGCCTCTCTGCTAAGGACACGAGGCTTGTTCACTGACACCTGGGGCTGCCATGCGGTGCAGCAGTGGTGTCCTGCTGCTGAGTCCTTCCATCTGCTGCTCTAAGTCAGGCTAGCTCAGTCCATCCAAGGAAACTCCCTCTCAGGGCTGACCCAGGATCCTTTTGGCTTACAGCCCATTTCATACTGGCATTCTTCTGTCCAAACCAGCCAGCCTGAGAGGAAAAGGGAAGGGCTGGCTGGCTCTACTTGCTATCTTGTCCAGGTACTTCCTCAGTACAACCTCTTGCCCTCTCGGGAGTATTGAGCAGTATATTCTCTTCCCCTGCCTGCAGATGTCCCAGTTCATTGTCCAGTGCCTGAACCCTTACCGGAAACCTGACTGCAAAGTGGGAAGAATTACCACAACTGAAGACTTCAAACACCTAGCTCGCAAGGTATTCTCCCCAGCTTGTGGTCTGACAATGTTCCGGGCAAACTGTGTACCTTCTAAGAAGGCCTCTTTCATCACAGAAAGTGGGGTTTCCTTGCCAGATGCCCAGGCTGGGGATCCAGGAACGGGGAGGGAACGTTTGGGAAGGGAGGGCACCCTACCCAAATGTAGTGATTCTCTAAGAAACTTCCAGAGCCTAGCTTCCCCTTTCTGGTGAGTCTAGCACCAGCTTGCCCCAACGTGTCTCCTTATCCAACTCGCAGCCTTAGTGAGAAGGGCCCTGCGGCAGCGGGCTGGCCTCCCCCTCACATCACTCCCATTCTGATTGGTGGCTGTGGTTTCTCTTCCCTGTGCCCCGAGCAGCTGACTCACGGCGTAATGAACAAGGAGCTGAAGTACTGTAAGAACCCTGAGGACCTGGAGTGCAATGAGAATGTGAAACACAAAACCAAGGAGTACATTAAGAAGTACATGCAGAAGTTTGGGGCTGTGTACAAACCCAAAGAGGACACTGAATTAGAGTGACTTGGGGGCTATGGTGGGAGGACAGGTGAGCAGGCAGGACAGACTCTGGGGAGAAGAAATTCTGTGGGCCCTCTCTGCCCCACCCTGTCAAGGCTGTGCTACTGATGACACAACACCCTGGGGAATTCAAATCTGCAGATTTCAAAAATGAGCCCCCAAATGAGCTCAATCTACAACGAGCGATCCCTGGTCGTGAGCTGTTGGGGTGTGGTCAGGGGCCGTCAGAGGCAGGGGCTTAGGGAAGAGCCTTCTCTAAGACCCTGGCCAGGCCTGACCCCACTCTCAAACCTGGGTCTCCTCCTTGGCGGTGCTGTCAGCGCACAGACCCATGCGCATCCCACCCACGACCCCTTACCCTGACGATCTGTATTATATTTTAATGTATATGTGAATATATTGAAAATAATTTGTTTGTTTTTTTCCTGGTTTTTGTTTGTTTTTTGTTTCGCTTTTAGCCTCTATGTGCTAGGATCACAGGAAGACTTTGTAAGGACGGTTTAAGTTCTCCTGCAAGGTTGAATTTGTTATCATGTAAATATCCAAAGCAGGCTGCCTTGTGGTTTCGGCCAGCCTTGTGCTATGTTGATAAGATTGATTTACTGCTTAAAATCACTTTACTTTATCCAATTTTTACTGAACTTTTTATGTAAAAAATAAAATTAATTAAAGAACTTCGCACGTGTGTTCCCTAAAAGCTAGTCAAGCATGTTTATGTATAATGATGTGACTGGAGGGAGAAAAGAGAGATGGTGGCTGTAAGTGTGTGAAGTCCAAAATTAGTCTTTGAGATTGGAGTTTATGACAGGCCTTGCTCCCCACAGGTCCACTGGGACCGAGGCAGACAGACATTTGCCAGGTGACTGACTTGTGAGCTTGGGATCTGGTGACTATGCTCAGGGGTGGAGTCAACTTGCTGTGCATTCCAGAGCAAAGGAAGTGGACCTGAGACCTCATTGGCTCCGGGTTTCTTTACTTGGGTTAATAGATAGGTCAGTCCAAAGAAAGGCACGCTTCTTCCCCTTTATACCTCCTGGCTGGGGAGAGGCATTGACCCTCTCCCCTCCAGAGTTTTGAGTTCCCAAGCCCCCTGGAATGCTTATTTGATATTTGGTTTCCCTAACCTCCCGCCATGCCACCTGACACTGGGCTTGGACAGTAGAGGGAGAACAGGGGAGGACCACTATAAAGGGTTGCAGTGCACAGGTTGTGATGATGGTGTAAATCTCCTGAGGGATTCCAGGCCCAGTGGAAACACTGCACGCGCGCGCGTACACACACACCCCACCCCCCCTTGATGCACCAGTTGTCTGGGCAATGAGGAGGGTCAAAGGCTTCAGGCCAGCCTGGGGGCCCATCTGCAGAGACTGATCCCATGTCTTCCTCCCCAGGGTTATTTTGCTCACTGCAGCAATGCCCGTGGGGAAAGGGCTGTGACCCAGCAAATCCTGGGGGTGGCGGGGTGGGGGGTGGACAGTAGTTAGAGCTCTCACTACCTGCTGGGCACTTAGAGCATAGGTTGTGCCCATTTGATCCTTACAACCCTGAGGCACAGGAATTGGCACTGTTCAGATGAGGTAACTAAGGTTCAGAGAGGCTTAGTGACTCGTCTCCTATTCTTATATTAAAGCAACTGTTAACATAGGAGAAAAACACCTGGTTTAAAGTCATAATCACTAGACATCCTATTTAACAATGTAGCCGAAGTATTTCCCCTTGATACTGCAGCCTTCAAACTGTTTAAAGTACATTCTTATAGCTTTAAACGGATGGACTCTAACCGTCTTCACATTTGAGAATGGTTGATTACAAAGTGTTTGTTAATGTGCTTCAGCACATTCAAAGGGAGTGTTTCTCTCTGGGTGGGTTTGCCGTGCAGGGGTGCAGCCGTACACACTGCTGCTTGCAACCACGTCAAACTCATGGTTTTGACCTAAGGCTCCAGGCTTCAGATATTCCAAGGAGATGTAAGGCAGCCTCCCATTAAAGGATGGTGGTGACCAGGGAGCTGTCGCATTTCAGATAGGATACCTTTGAAGAGGAATTCTCAGGGTTTTTTTTTCAAGATCTTTGCCCCTTCCACATACCCCTTGACACCTTCAGGCTCCAATCCCCTCAGCGGTGATAAGGGCTGCCAGCTAATGGAGAACCTGTTCATCCCACCTGATGGAGGATTTCACATTCACTGCCCCGCCAACCCTCCATAGTGCTGTGGCTGACTCTCCAGCTCTGGTCTGATTCTAGCCGACTGAATGCTGAGCCTTTCCTGCTTTCTGTTCTCGGTTATTACTGCCCAAGGGTCATCTCAGGATGAAGGTGGCTTTCAGCCTGCCCTTCCTTATTTTAAGGAAAGACTCACAGGGTCAAGCAGGGCTGGTAAGCTGTTTCTGAGGAACAGCAGAGCAGCAGTCTGATGAGTTTGGTACTCCCAGAGCAGCCAACCCGTTACATCTCAGTCAGCCAGGGGACAGGATCGACCGTGGACCATGACTGGATCCAACATCTGAGTTCGGGTGGTGGATGCCAGGATGGTAACCATTGTTCCTTCCTAGGCAGGGCTTGTCTGCTGGAGCAGCTCTCTCCACAGGCACAGTAACCAGCAGCCTGCCTGCCTCTCCCTTCTGGGTGGGCATATGCGTGGGGGGCAGGGTGCCCTGTCCTCAACTGCCCCTCATGTGGGTATGATGACCACCTGCCCTTGGCTTGTGTAGAAATCACATAAGCAGCCGTGGAAGCATGTTTGGACCTGGAGTGTTGGCCTCGTAAGGAGGGCCCTTTCTTCCTTTCTCATCTAGAGGTGACCAGAGGCCCTTGGTAACTAGCTTCCCAGGACCAGTCTGCCTCCGGCCTGCAGCCTTCCCTCAATGCTGCTCACAGCACATGTCAGGAAAAGGGTCTCCACCCTAAGGCCCCTGAGTGCCAACCTGGGAGTCTTAGAAGGTGGGGGGCCTACTGAACGTGCCATTCTAGTTATTGCTCTCCAGCTAAGGAAGCTCAAGTTCAGAAAGGTAAAATAGCTTCCTGACAAGATCCAGCCAGTGGGTGGCAGAGGCAGGACATGCTTTCCACTCGGTGCCTCCCAAGCTCGCATCTTCTACGGCGACGCGCTGCCTACCAGCTCAGGCGCTCCTCCCACCACCCAGAGACCCCATCCTTTTTCTGGGCTTCTGCCTCATAGCCACCCAACTGTCTCACAGGCCCAAGGAGCCAGACAGAGCCAGCACAATGATGCAAAGTTACCTTTAATACGGAATACAAAAGTAGAAAAACCAGTTGAGGCTAAGTGGAGGTGGAGTACGGGCCCACTTACTGCCAACTTCCCCCATCTCCTGATCCCTGTCTTGGAAGAAGGCAGGGTGCGGGGAGGTGAGTGGTGGCTGGACCTTATGTCTCCCCCCAGAACAGAGCAGGCTGAGGCCACTAACGCCAGGAAGCCCACAAAAGGGGAGGCATGTGAGATGGACACGGTAGGGAGCCCCAGAGCAGGCTCCCTGAGCGGCCAGGCTGTGGAGGCACTGCTCACACCACAGCGCGGTCCTCAGCCGGGAGGCCCAGGACCCGGACCACATCTTCCCGGCCCATGGCAGCCAGGGCATCCGCTAGCACCCTGAGGGTAGCACCACTGCCTTGCTGGACAGCCCAGTCCCTCAGCAGGGTGTAGGCTGGCCCCTGGCCCCGGGCCATGGTCTCCACAGCCTCAGCCTGGTAGCCTAGGCGGCCCGCCAGGCCCTGCCAGCCCTTGTCAGGCTCGCCCGACGCTTCCAGGAGATGCTCCACTTCCTCTTGCTGCTGCCGAGGGAGACGAAGGTAAAGCCGGCAGCCAGACTCAGGATGTGGCCCTGGGGTGGCAGACGTGAGGGGCAAATGAGGGTCAGACGGGCTGGGTGGGGAGGCAGAACTAGGTCTAAAGGACTGTAGACTGGGGAAAGGAGCTCACCCTGGCTGGGGGCGCAGGACTCCAGGCCGCTAGGAGAGTCCCGGAAGACACCGCCATCTCCATGCATCTGGTCCCTGTCCAGGGCCCCCAGCTCTGTGGTCCGAGCTTTGGCCAGCTGCTGTCTTTGTTTATGTGAGCGCCAGCTGTGGAGAGCAGGGGGGACCTGCCAACCTGCTCCAACCTTCACTGAGACAGAGGGAGCTGGCTGGGAGTTCATATGAGGAGGGAGTGCCACAGGGCAGTGCCCAGGCCACCTACCACTTGAAAGCCACGTAGGCAAGCAGACCGAGGACCACGGTGGCCAGGAGAGCACAGTACACAGGGATGATACTGCTGCCCGAGGCCCCTGGAGGCTCAGGGGGGAATGGAGAGGAGGCATTGGGGGCCAGGGCTCCCCCTGCCCCTATCCACGCTCCTTCCCTGTCACTGTCCTGCCTCCAGGTCTTATCTGTGGAAGAAAGGCAAGACAGGGTCAAGGGCAAGGAATCAAGGCTAGAGTCCCTGGGCAGCCTCACCGAGACTTTGCTGTAAACAAGTCTGAAACGACAAGTGGTCCCTACTCTGTCGAGCCTCAAGCTCATACCATGGCACGGAGAGCTGACTGGCCAGTTCTCCCATCCTCACCTCCCACAGCCTCCCCTTTGCTCACCACTCTTGGACACCTAGCCCTTCTCAGAGGTACCCTTCTCCCAGGCTTCCAGACATCCATTCTTGCTGTTCCACTTTCTCGGTCTGACAAACCAGAAGGAATCTCCTATTCTGGGAAGCTTCCTTGGTCTCTCCCAATCTCTGCCTTTTCTGGCTCCTGTCGCACCTCCTCTGCCTACTGTAACGCTGAACTGTGCATCCTGTGTCCCCCGCCAAGTCTGGATTGTGAGAGCGCATTGGTTCGCGTGGGTCCACATGGGGGCCTCTGTGCACAGGAGACCTGCTGCTGTTTACTTCTGCCTGGAGGCCAGTGGGTCCCCACAATCCAGTGCAGGCAGGGCACAAGGGACAGGAACCCCAGAGCCTGTGACTAGACTTGTGTGTGACCTGCCCACCTGGGGTGCCTCCCATCCTACCAGTGCCCAGAGTCTGGATCAGGAGGTGCTTACCCTCGTGGAGCGTGCCTTCCCCGAGGCTGGAGTTGTGGAGCATGGCTCTGCCGGCTGGTAGTGCTCCCAGGGGCTGCACCTCTTGGAGAAGGGGTTGGAGTGTCATGGGCAGTGCCCAGGCTAGGGAGCTGGGAGACTTGTCTCAGTCCAGAAGGGGTTGTGTGCAAGGACACGGGAGGAATGCCTCAGGCCTGACGTCACGAGTCCCTTGGGGTTGTCTGTCTCTCTCTCCTAGCTCACGCCATCCTGATTCACTCCAGGGCTGGGTCCCCCTCCCCCACTCCTAAATCACCAATCTGGACCAGTTTCCTCCAGTGCCAGATCCTCTGGGGGGTGATAGAGCTGGACCCAGCTGGCCAAGCTAGAGGATCTAGGGTGCAGCTTAGGAGGGAGATGGGCAGACTGGTAAACCCCGAGTCCAGGGATGACCCGGAATGACCAGGGAGATGCCCACCCCCACCTCAGCCAGAGCCAGCGGGGGGAACTTACTGGCTGGTGGGAGGCTACTCCAGGCTTCTCAGCATGAGCCCAGGGACCCGACACCCTAAGCCTCCAAGGCAGGGCTCCCTGGCATGACGATGCCCCCTGTCCTTCCTCCAGGGTCAGCGTCTAGCCCTCACAGCCCGCCCAGAGGCTGAATGGCAGGGTACGTTGGTGGGTTTAGCAAGGACAGAGGGCATATGGGCCCAGAGGCCAAGAAACCTGAAGGATAGGACCCATCTGGACCTACAGGGCTGATCCTGCCGGAACCCACTTCCTGAGGCCTGGGCAGGAGGGGCCCCGCTCCGGGCTGAGGAGGGATCTTGCCTGGAAAAGGAAGAGACCTGGGGGAAGGCCATCCATCACTCCGCATCAGGCCTGGTCCACCCCAGGAACTCCAAACTCACTTCCCTGCACAAGGGCTTTCGCCTATGTTTATGGCAAAGTGTACAGTGGGAAAGTGGGTCTGGGACAGAGGCTGCGGTGGCCCTTGCCACGTGTCAGGTGTGTACGTTTGTGTCACTTACCACATGAGGGGCTCCTGGTTGGCTGGTGAGCCTGTGACCAGCGTGCGCAGACAGCCAGGCCTTGTGCATCCCTGACCCACCCGGAGCTGCGGGATAGGAGCCTCTACCGCCCCCACACCAAACACACCCGTTTCCAGGCCCACAAAATATTCACACCGTGCAACACCCCGCACGCCCACACACATCCCAACACGGGCGCCGCACCACGACGAACGACACCGGCAGGATCGCGGGTCTCGCTTGAGATGGGGGACAGAGAGGTGGCCTTCGGCTCCCTCTGTCCAGGAAGACCCGGGGCTGTGTCCCCAACCCGCTCCTGACCTGCGGCGGCCGCCCCTTCGCGGGTCCCAAGATCCGCTCACCCTGGTGGAACGGGGGCCTCTGAGCCTCGGGACTAGCCTTGGGCTGGCCTGGACGACTGCGTGGAATCCCCTGGGGAGGCTAGGTTGTGGACCGCCGGAGACTAGAGCGGAGGCGCCGGGCGGGACTTTGAGGGAGTAGGGAGGGCGGTCCCGGGAGTCCAGCGGCCCCGGCCGGCGCTGCAGGGGCCCAAGGGGGTGGGGCTGGGTGGAGGGGCGCGGCCGCGGCGGCCCCGCCCCGCCCCGCGCAGGAACGCGCAGGCGCGTCCACACGCAGCCTGCCCCGGAAGGCGGGAATGTGTGAATGGTGTGTGGCGGTGATTCCGCGGAAGACTGAGGGCGCAAAGAACAGGAGCCGGGAGAACGATGGGCAGGGCCCTGAGGGACAGGGACGGTGCTGCTGGGGACGCTGAGGCCACGCGGAGGGGACAAGTCGCCCTGGAGGGCTCACGGACCAGGGGCACGCGAACCCGCACGATGACTAGGGCAGGCTGAGACGCCGCGCGCGCGCGCGCATACTCGGAGACAGAGCAGCTACAAAACTAGGCCAGGTTTATTGCCGAGAATGGGAGAGCGGGGTCCGCCTTAGGGATTAAGGCCACAGCCCGGTCCCCGTGCTCTGCCGGGACAGGGGTCTTGGGAAGCTGTGTTCCCCGTCCCAGGTTGTGCAAAAAGTGCTGTGCGGGCGCCGAGGCCTCCAGTGTTGGGACTCCGGGCAGCTCTCTGCCGGCGAGAGGCGGGACTTCCTGGAGTGACACCGTCCACCAATCCCTGAGCTGGACGAGGGTGGGACTCCGCCCACCCCCAAGAGTGCGGACCGTAGGCTTCGCGGACCCCTGGGCGGGTCCTCCCGAGGCGGAGCCCGCTGGGAGCGGAGCCTGCGCAGTGGGGCGGGGCAGGCTGTCAGCGGGCCTCTCCAGGTTTGTACTCTGTTTCCCCGGAGGACACCTGCGAGATGCGCCGTGAGGACCGCCACAGCTTCCGCGCGAACTGGCTGCTGCGCACCTGATAGGAGGAGGAGCAGGGTGGGGTTAGCTAGGACCATTACTCTCTGCCCCATTCGAGACCCGCCCTGCCCTTATCCTCACCTCAGAGGGCTGCCCCGCGCCCACCACGATAAGCTTGCCGTCCTCCAGGCCAACCAGCACGTGGCTGCGCTCCTTGGTCACAGCCACGCTGCGGATGGGCACCTTCATGGGCAAGGGAGGCGCGGCCGGGAGCAGGCTGGAGTTAAGAGAAGAGATACATGAACTCGCAACTGCAAGGCAGCTTGGCATCCGGCAGAAGGAGGTCCCTCCATTCCCCCATGTACCCTCTCCTCATTTGAAGGACGGCTCAGTTGAAACCCTGATACATAAAGGAATCTCCCACAAGTGTGTGGCAAGATCTCCCCATTGGGGGATGAGACAGGTGACAGAACGTGCCCACAGACATGCAGAGGGTGTGGGTCCATGAGGGGCACCTAGTATCCTCTGCCCATGACCACCCTGAGGGGCCGTGATCCCATAAATAGAGGGGCTCACTTGTTCAGGTGGAGGATGTGCAGGGCACACTGGGCTGTGCCCAGCAGAACAAAGTCCTCTGTCACTGCCAGGGCTGTGGGCTGCTCTACCAGGGGCAGTGACGCCCGCAACCTCCCATTCACTGAGTACAGGTGCAGGGAGTAGGTGACCTGGAAGAAACAGGAGGTGTCAGCAAGGACAGAATCCCAACCACCCCTGTCTTAACTGGGCGCCCCTTTCCCATACCTGAGCCCCCAGGCGTTCCCGAGCCGCGCTCTGTACCACAATCTGGCCCTCAGACCCCAGAGCCAGGTGGGACACAGGTCCGGGCAACATGGCTCCTGGGGGCCGTAGTGCTGCCACGAACTGGCCACGGCGTACAGTGTGGATGATCACAGTTCCGTCCTGCAGGAAGGCAGCTTAGGGTGCTGGGCAGGGGTCTCTGGACTCCAGAGGCAGTGCCCAGCACACTCGGCCTCCCCTGGGCACAGGCATACACACACCTCGGATCCAGACACAGCCATGTCGAGTTCAGTGCTGATGGCCACACAGCTCACTGCAGCCTCGTGCCCGTATAGGACCTGCACAGGCTTTGATGCCAGCCCCGCCGAGAGACCACCCTGTGGGAAGCCAGGGCTGGCTCAGGATTGGGGACATCCCATGACCCTGGCCCGAGTGAGAAGGCTAAAGCTCAGGAAAGTGAAGGCATTGTGCCAAGCCAGGGAGCTGGAGGGTTGTGGAGCCCCCAACTTGCTCAAAGGGGAAGAGAGAAGGGCAGGACTGAAGACCTGCTAAGGGGCAGGTGGGCTACAGGTCTGGACTATGGAGGCCCCACAAGGCTGTCCGTCAGGCACACCTGCAGGAGCCGCCACACCATGCACGTAGTGTCCCGGGAGCCTGAGATGAGGTAGATGCCACAGGTGTCCAGTGCAAGGCAGGTCACTATGTCTGTGTGGGGAGGGGAAGCTACAATTAGAGCAGAGTGGTCACACCCTCCCCGGCTACCTGCACCACCCCCAGCTCCAAGGCTGCAAGTACCGAGGTGGCGGTTGAGCTGGCTCAAGAGCTTGCCCCGGGGGAGCGCCGTCACTCGCAGGCTGCCATCCCAGTGGCCACCACTGAACAGCAGCTTTCCATCGGGGTCCACTGCCAGGGCTTGCCCACTCACGCCACTGCCTGGTACCCACGGGCCACTCAGCACTCGCTGCACCCTGACCCAGTGAGGAGGATGACAAGTGAGGCCAGGTCACATAGGAGACCCAGGCCCTCAGAGACCTTGGCCAGACCCAGCGGCTGGCCAGCGTTCTGACTGGGTGGGGAGATGCCCACCCCTGCCCGCAGCCCTGTGTCCTACTTGGTGGAGTCTTTGATGAACCTGAAGTAATTGCTTATGTTACGGTCGTAGGGTAACCAGCCGTGGGTACCCAGCAGCCCATTGGCACTCACAGTCACCTGTGGGCAAGAGGGGGCAGAGGAGGGTTTGGGGCAGAGTCCGAGAGAGGTGGAGCTGGGGTGGGGTCCTGCCCACGACACTTACCAACAGGTCTTGGGTCATGAAGGAGTGGAGTTGCCTGTGCGGAACCAGGGCCAGCACCAGGGGCACACCATCACTGATGACCTGCAAAGTAAGAGTGCAGGGCTGGCTGTGCCCAAGCGGCCAGCTGGGGCCACCATTACACTACCCGCTCCATGGGGCACCACCCCTTCCTCTGCCCTCAAGCCCCAGAGGTCAGGCTAGGTGTCATAGAAGCTGAGGTCCCTCTGAGAAACAGGTACGAGAAACCAGTGGGTCTTCGGGAGGGCATCTCAGAAAGTGAGTGAGCAGCTGGGATGGGCGAGGAAGATCCAGCGTCTCAAGCTTGGTCCACCCACTCCATTACTCCATGTCCCCCAGCCTGCTGGCAGGAGAGGAGAGCCTAAAAAGGGCCTGAGGGCATGCTGGGAGGCCGGCAGGAAGACGAGGGAGAATGTCCAAGGCCAGATGCTCTCCCTTCTGGTCTAAGTCTTTCGGAGATGGCTAGGCGAGTCAACACCTTGTTCTGGCCCTTGTGAGGAAGGTACCCCAGCCACACTTCCATACTCCTCTCCTTTTCTTACTTTTTCGAAGATGCTGATATCCGTGACCTTAATTTAGGTTTTCTGTCTGCCCCAAGAGGTTAGTAAGGACAAGGGGGTTAAACCCAGTTCACAGAGCAGGAAGTTGAGGCCCTGCCTCCTCTCACCTCTGCGAAGAAGGCTTTGAGCTGGTCCAGGTGCTGGAAGATGCTAGGTGAATTAGTGTCCAGACGTGCAAGGCGTTGGGCTGCTTCCTCAGCTGAGAGCCGAGCTGGATGTGGCTCCTGTGGGTAAGTGGCTGGTCAGCACCATGGCATGGACATCCCTGACCACCTCCCTCCACGCTGGCCTTACCTTCAGCAGCTGACAGGGGGTCTGCCCAAAGTTGCTGATAATGCCCTCCAGAGCCTTCCGTTCCCGTTCATCTGGCACGTGGTCCAGGTCCACAGCCCCTGAACAGGCAGAGCAGTCAGGACTCCCTCTGTGTCCTCGGCATTCACCCTGCCTCATCTGTGCCCAGCCCCCACTTGAGTCCAGGGCATTGCCCACCTTCATAGGTGCAGTAATAAAAGACATTGAGGGCCTCCTCCGCAGCCGGCCCCCGCTGCTTATAGCCAAAGATGAGGTCAATCCACTCATGCAGGTGGGCAGACACGTACTCTGACTCCTGGGGGTGAGGAGGAACAGTCAGCCCAGGGATGGACGGATGACCCCCAACCCCCACCGTCAACCCTGACTGCCCGCCTGTCTGTCTGTGCTCATCTCACCAGAGCCTGGCGGTGCTGCTGGATGAAGTCCTCAGGAGAGCTGGCCCATGGGGGCAGCACCACGTCGCCCACCTTCTCATTGGTCAGCTGCAGGCAGCCCAGGTCAAAGCCTGGCACAGAGGACTGGGTCAGCTGTCTCACTGTGCCACCTTCACCTGCTCCGTGGCCACCCCTGGCCTGTCCCCATCCCGATGCCAGTTCCTACCATTCTGGTTCTCCAGGAAGTCGGGGAAGTAGAAGAACTCTGGGATGAGCTCCTTCACATCAGCCAGGCTGTCCAGGCGTGCTTGCCAGGCTGCTGCCACCGAGTGGAACTGCCGGTCAGAGCAGTCAAAGCTGGGGGAGGGGCACAGGCCAAAGTGAGGTGGGGAGAATGGGCACAGGGAGGGAGGTGTGGCTGGGGGAAAGGACGGAGCCAGAGGGCCCAGGATGACCCCTCACCACCCCACCAGGCTGCCATCTGCCCACCACCCGCTGGGTCGCACCGGCCACTCTGCAGCTGGACGTGCAGGGAGGTGAAGGGCTCCATGCGGATGAGGTAGTGCATCACGCCCGCTGCGTTGGAATAGTGGGTGCCATAGTGAAACTTGTCAATGGTGCCCGCTGGGTCCTCGAAGCTCTCATACCTGGAGCCGCAGTTAGGGAGGAATCAGCAGAAGCCCTCCCCTCGCCCATCCCAAACCCCGCGCCCGGCCTCGCCCACATGCTCACTTCTCCCTCACGAGCTGGGCATGCTTGGGGTTCACCACACCGATGGGCTTGGACAGGTCCCGGAAGACAGCCGGGTTGCTGAGATCCAAGGTTGGGGACACATAGTCCTGTAGGACCCAGGGGAACTGGCCGCCCACCCGGGCAGGTTCTGCATGAGGGTCCTGATGGTCTACCTGCCCACCCTGCCCTGCCCTCACCCTGAGGAAGATGGGTACAGCCCACAGGTAGGAACACACCACTTCAAGGGGCTGCAGGGGAGCAGGACGGACTATCTAGGACAAGATTCCCCTTCAGGGAAAATAGGCCTGGAGGGGAAGAGAGTGGGCCTGACTGTGTGCGGGGTGGTGGCAGGAGGCAGAGGCCAGGTTTTGGGCAGCACCGACCTAGGACCAAGCTCAGAGCTTGGCCCCATCAGTGCCTACACTTGGGTGAACTAAGGCTGGCAGACCACAGGGGCGGGTTGGAGGTGCGGAGTGGGCCCTCACCACAGGGTACTGAGACAAGTCGTTGTAGGTCCGCCCCGCAATGGTGTTGAGTTGCATCAAGTATTCAAAGTTGGATATCTCACGCTGTACCCATTTCTGGGGGACAAGGGCAGACGAGAGGTGAGTCAGCTGGGCTGTCCAGCACTCCTCCCAACTGCAAGGTTCTAACCTCACCAGCCCCTCCCTCCAGGGCTCTCACCTGGGTAAGACCTGAGGCGTCCAGCATCTCCTGGGGGGAGCGGCTGCTTAGGTAACCTTGGGTAGGGGGTCGCAGGCGCAGGAGCCACTTGTACACCTGGTTCCGTACCTGGGTGTGGGGTGGGATGGGGCAGGGTTGGGGCCTGGGGGCTTGGCAAGGAGATGAGGCTGCAGTCCCGCCCACCTTGCATGGGAAGTTGAGGAAGTAGTTGGCCTGATCAATGAAGAAGAGTTCAAGTGCTGAACGGCGCAGGTTGAAACGCCGTAGGTGGACCTCACGCAGCTGGGCCAGCGGGCGCCGGAAGTCATGGCCAATACCTGTGGGGAGGGACAGCGGGTGCAGGAATCCCTCAGCCTAGCCCCACCAGACCACAGCAACCCCCTGCCTTCCCTCCATCAGAACGCACCCTCCTCAGTTTCCACGCGCTCAGTACTACAATCGTAGAAGTAAACGTGCTGTGTGGTGACCTCCAGCAGCCCTGGGACCACAGCCACCACTGTGACCAGTTGGCATTCAGCTGACAGAACCAGCTTCTCATGCTGCTCGTCCAGTTCTGCTGCCTCCATCCTGGGGGTCAACACCCACTTCAAGCTGTAGGCTCTGGGACCCCCATCCCGACAAGCCCAAGGACGACACTCCACGTGCCATCAAGTCATGAGGTACATACACGAGGCTCGTGCCTCCCAGAAGAGGAGAAGACTGGCCCCAGTTCCCACCCCAAAACTTGGGTCTCTGAGTGTCTTGAGGATACCAACTCTTGTCCCTGGCTTCCCGTCACTCAGCCCCTGCCCACTCCCATGGGCCCCATCCTATTCTGGTTGTGTCTCAACCCTGCTCTGGGGTGCCTAGTCATGAAAGAGCAACTATCTATTCTGTTAGACACCTCTCCCCAATCCCGCATCTGATTTTGGACAGTCCCTTCAGGGCGGTTAGCCCTGCAGCAGAAGAAGGAATGGACTCGGGTCAATCGCCCAGCAGGCATGCACCCCCAGACCAGACCCCTGGCCCACCGCCCGGGTCAGCTCTCTCTGAGCCCCACTCACAGGGTCTCCAACGAAGCCAGCTCATCCTCGCCCAGCTGGTCTTCCTGCAGATCCTCAGACAGGGTGCTGACTTTGGCCTCTTTGGTCACTGCTAGAGGTAGCGAGGCCTCCTCGGTGGGTGTCAAGGGGGCCTCACCTGCAATGGGCCCAACGGTGGTCATCCAGAGCTAGGCAGGACAGCCTATGAAGTTGGATAGACCCAGCTCAGCACACCCTCTCACCCAGATTGTCCCGTAGGGCGCTGGCTTCCAGGTGAGGGTTGAAGTGATGGTTGGGCACCAGCTTCAGACGCATGCGCGAGTATGTCTCCACGCTTGACATCTTCCACCGGGGGGTGGGCGGATCCCTGCAGATGCATCCCAGGTGATTCTTCCCAGGCCTAACCCCAAAGGCAGTCGGGTGTCTCACCCCTCTCCCTTCCACTTTCTCTCCCTTCCACCTTCCCTCCCAAGCCCTGCCCCAGCCCCACCCACCTCAGGGCCCAGGGTCCGCAGGGGCTGGAGAGCTGTCGCCACAGCGCCCCCCAGTGCAGCAGGACAGTGGAATGCTGTGCAGCCTGCTGCTTCAGCGCAGCCGCATAGCGCAGCCCCTCCAGACGCGCCCGCCGCTGCACAGGTTCCAGGACCAACTCCTGGTGGGTGGGGGAGGGAGAAATGGGTGAGTCCAGCTGGCTGCTTCCTGTCCTGGCCCATCAGGGGTCCTCTGGGTGCATGTGTGGAGCAGCTCCTGGTCCCTCACCCCAGGCCACACACCTGGAAGGCCTGACGACTCTGTGCCCTCTCCCTCTGGCGCCGCTGCCCACTGCTCATGAGCGTGTCATAGCAAGAGTTCCAGAAGCCAGACATGAGGTCGTGGCTCTTAGCATAGGTGTCCATTTCAAACTGTGACATGATGGGCTGCACCTGGAGGGTTGGGCAGGGAGAGGAGACCAGTGCTCATTGTTGGCCCCCAGCCCCCACTTCTCTGCCCGTGCCCCCACCTCCAGGTACCTGCTTGTCGATGAAGTGGCGCCATTCGGCTGTGGCACAAAAGGCCTGGAAGTCCTCAAAGAAGGTGGGGCTGCCGTTGGTGGGCGGGAGGGAAGGCAGCCCGGACTGCAGCCCCAGTGCCCCATAAGCACGGTCCAGCAGCGTGCGCACCAGGGGCACTAGCCACGAGCAGCGCTCCGAAGTTGCAGCAGCTGTAGTTGGGGGCCCATGGTCCTCAGTGGCCGTCTTGTAGAGGGTGGTGTTCAAAGCCCGCGCCAGTGCCGCCTCCAACTTGGAGAGCACATAGCAGGCCTCCTCCCGGCGCATGGGCACAGCAGTCTGCAGCAATGCGTGCAGCCTCACATAGGCCTGGGAGTGCAGCTGGGGGCAGAAGGGAGGTGTGGGTGGCACCCAGCCACTCCTTACATCTGCCATGCTCCTCCTCCCACACCCACCCCATGTTCACCTGTGGGTCCTCCAGTAGGATGTAGCCCAGCACCAGGTGCAGGCCGATCTGTGCCATCTCTCGGAGATCTGCTGTGCCATTGGCCAGGTGTGGCCAGGCTCCCAGGCGATCAAGCAGGCTGCACACACCTTCAAAGAGCTGCCAAACAACACATTCCCCAGGAGCCATCACCAGATAGATAAGGCCAGCAACCCATGGAGAGGGAGCAAAGTAAGGTTTGGGCCAGAGGCCAGGCTGGGTTTATATACACAGACAAGGCCATGCTCACAGACACCCGTGCCAACACACCCAGGACTGCACATATGTACCCATCCTCCCCAGACCACACGCCTGCAGGCTCATGGGAACACACGTGCTCACACGGCTCACATCCCTCTGAGCTGTCGCACCTTCTCACTCCACAGTTCCTGATTGCCATGGCCCTCAGAGCACAGGAAGTCCTGCAGCAGGCGCAGCAGCCAAAGCACCTGCTGGGTGAAGCTGGCCAGGACCCCAGCGGGGGCCTCTTTGATGTCGGTCAGGGCTGACTCCAGCATCATCTCCAGGAGGCTGGGGATGCACAAGGGGCTCAGCTGTCTACCTGACTGCCTTCCTTACCAGAAGGCTTCCTAGAGGCCCCTGCCCTCCCAAGATGCCTCCTCACCTGCGCTTGATACAGTCTGGTGGGCGCACAAGTGTGGCTGAGGCCCCCAGCTGGGTGAGCACCGAGAAGACCTGGCCACGTTCCCGCCAGGCGGCCTCGTCACTGCCTTCCACACCCCGCCATGTCACCAAGAACAGCATGTTGGTGAGCAGGTTGCACAACTCCTCCTCAGGGGTTTGCTGTGGGCGTAGATGGGTGGTATGGGGTGTGGGCTGCGGAGGGAGGGGATCAGGCTGACCCCACACTACAGAGATAGGCAAGCACTACTTGCCCACCACAAGTAGGAACAACAGGAGGAATGGAATAGAGGCCTCAGCCACTGCCTGGATTCCAGGGAGAATCCTGGGGTTTCAGGGATTCCTAAGACGAGATCAGGTGGCTCACAAATACCCCACAATCCTCAAAGGCCTCAAGAACTGTCCTGGACTTCTCTGGAAGAATGCCATAGAATAAGCAGAGGCCCATCCCCAAACCCAGAAGCACCAGACAGGATCCTGAGAGCTGTGCTGTCCATAGGCCCTGTAAAGTCTCTGCCCAATTCTGGGGTCTCACTGGCAGCTGCAGCTCTGATATCAGAAGGGCTGATTTCTACACCTACAGAAAGGCTACAGTGCCTGTCCCATGTCCCAGAGGAGTCCGCCCTTAGTGCCATGCGATGGTAAAGGGTGGGCCTGCCTCACCTGAGGGTTGCTGGTATTAGAAGTGTCATCCCCACTGATGGTGGGCTCCGGGAGGCTGCCGTCCTCCAGCACATTGGAGAGACTGGAGCTGAGGCGGCCATGGGCGGCAGGGAAGGGCCGGGGCCCATCCAGCGGGGAAGGTGTGCCAGGCTGGCTAGCTGGGGTAAGAGTCCCACTACTGCTGCCACCACCAGCAGTGTTGCCTGAGCCCACGCTGGCCCGTTCCAGGCCCAGGTCAAAGGGTGCACAGAACGGGGAGAGAGCTTGGTAAAAGGCATCAGGGTCGGGGCAGGGGGCATCTGAGGGCAGGAAGACGTCCGAAGGTTCAGGTGACTCAGTGGGTGGCTTGGATAAAGCTGGCTCTGGGGAGGCGGGCAGCTCTGGAGGAAAAGGCAGAGGACTGCTGGCCGTGGCAGCCTCCAGTACGTACAACCGGGTCAGCACATCCTGCCAGCTGGCTTGTCGGGCCAGCAGCCGCACTATGTCGGGCTGTCCGTGGATGAGGTGGAAGAGCTGCCGGGCCAGGGCACAGCAAGTGAGGGACTCGTCCAAGAGATCTGCCCGCACCCTCCTCCGGGGACTTTCGCAGGGGAGGCTTCTAGAGATCCCGCACCACTGGCAGACAAAGTGGGTCCTCGGGGTAGAAGCTCCCCTGCCAAAGCTTTCACCTCCCACACTCACCTGGCGACAGATGTCCAGGCGGACGCTGAGGTCAGCCTGGAGAGACAGCTGCACCACAGCCATCAGATCTGAGAGGTTCAGGAAATCTGGGAGGAGGAACAGAGAGGGCCTGAGGGACCGACCCCAGTAGGGGCTGTACTGCCCTGCTGGCTCAGCCTCGGCCCCTGTACCCCCACCTCCCTTAGTCCCACCTGCCCTGTTTCTGGATCCATATCATCCCTCCACCTGGCCTGCCTTTTGGCCCCAACCAGATTGTACCTGTCCCCAGGAACAGCTTGTAGAGGCCCTGACAGAGCTGGAGGGAAACTGCCCCCTCTGGCAGGCAAGCGACGAGACCCTGGAGACCACACTCTCGCAGCCGGAGCCGCTGGCGGCTCCGCTCAGGTAAGCGCTCATTCTGCCGTAGTCTGCGCAGGATCTGTGTGTGTAGGTGGGATGTGTGTGGGGGGGGTGTCATCATGGGGAAGAAGTTACTGTAGGAGGGGAAGTCACCACACAGGTGTGTGCCTCCAAGAATAGTCTGTGAAAGCAGCTTCCTCTGCCAGCCCAAGGCCTGCTGCTCTTCCCAGAGCCTCGGGCAGGGGCCAGAGAGAGAATAGGACGCCAGGATCGGGGGTGGGCTGGGTATACCTTGCAGACTCGGTCGGGCACCAGGGGCAGTGACCTTGGCCGCACCAGCAGTGCCAGCAGCACTTCCAGGTTCCCCGGCTCCAGGAGGAAGACAGCCAGAGACTCCTGTGCTGGTGAGCCCTGCAGTAGTGCCAGCAGCAGGTCCAGGGCACCCGCCACCTGGGGATACAAAGGCGCACATTGGGCTGGCTTCCCCCACGTGGTCCACACGCCACCCCTCACCCAAGCCTGTCACCAGCCTTAGCCTACCTGACCATCATCACTCGCTGCTGCCAGAAAGCTCAGCAGGACCTGCATGTCATCAGTAGAGGAGCTTCGCACCAGGAACTCCCGAGCCAGGCCCAGGAGTGAAGTCTGCACCGTTCGCAGGTCGTCGGCCGCTAGGGGGCGCTCCCGCTGTGGGCTGGACGGATCCCAGCAGGCAGACCCACCCAGAGCCAGGAGAACGCAGGGGCAAGGAGGGGAGAGAACAGGGAGAATGGGCAGGTGAGCTGGGCACTGAACCGTCCTGTCCCCAAGGCCAGAAGCCAGTGGGTCAGCCCTCTGGCCATCTGCCCCCACCAGCCTCACCTGTAGTGGGTGCGCAGAGCATCGAGGATGAACTGGACCCCATACTTCTTCCGTAGCTTCTGTCTGTGCTCACGGACTATGCTGGACATGTACTGGATGTGGCCTGAGTGGGCATCAGCAGAAGGCTCAGGCCACCAGGCTGAACTGGGCCCCTTCCAATCCTCCTGCCAGACACCCCCAGGGGAGGGTCATGTTCCCCTTGGACGCCCCGGACAAATATGTCCCCTCAAATCACCCAGAGAGGAGTTATAACTTCTTAGAACCTCCACCACCACCCTGCCTGGAGGCGTCCCTTCACCCAAGGCCCCACACCTACCAAGGCGCACAGCAAAGTCACTGAAGGTCCAGAGATGAAAGTTGAAGAGCAAATGCTGGTAGAGCAGGTACAGGAGGGGCCCACTGCCCTCAGCTGCCAGCTGGTCCATCAGCAGCTGGGCTGACATGAGCACATTCATGTCCATGGCCCAGCTGGGGACCTGGGGCGGGGGGAGGAGCGGGGCAAGGCTTCAGGCTCTGCCCACCCACTGTTGAGCACCCCAGCTTCCACCCTGCCCTGAACAGACACAAGCGTCCTGCCTGCCCAGAGCCCCTTGACGGCTCCTTCCCATCTCTGAAGTGCAAGCTCCCCAACTTCCTTTCAAGTCCCCTGTCCCACCTGACCCTCTCCGCCAAACCCTGCCTAGCTTTCCGAGGCCCCACTCAAATGCCACCTCTCCCAGGAGCCTCTCCCTGACGGAGGGCATCAGCTTCCCCTTCTTAGTCCCCCCACCCAGGCCCTTTGGTCAGACAAGGCAGCCCCCTCCCCACCTGCCCCAGCAGGCCCCACCTTGCGCAGGAGCGCCCCGATGATGGCAGGGCCCTGGCACTGCAGCAGGCTCTCCTGGTTCACAGCGTGGCCCTGCAGGAAGTTCCGCAGCATCAGCAGAAAGGCAGCCACCGCGTTCCTCTCCATTCGCTCCTCTGCCGGTCGCCAGGAAGGGGACAGATGTGTGTCAAGGGCATGCCAGTGGCCACAGAGACTTCAGGCACCCCAGCCCCCCATCATGCTAAGATTGCCTCCCCATAACCCAGGTACCAGGGACACTTACCTGAGGACTTACTCAGTGGGAGTAGCAGGCCCTGGGTGTTGTGGCCAGAGGTCAGCTCAGGTCCCACAAGGTCATGTGTTTCAGCTGGACCTGCCTCAGCCTCTTGGGGCTGTGTAGCCACTCGCTCCAGCAGGGGCAGCAGGGCACCCATGCCTCCCACACAGTTCACCACATCCTGAAAGGTAGGGGTCTGGCTGTGAGAAGGCAGCTCCCAGCTGTTACCTGACCCACTCCACCCCAGCACACCCTCCAGTCGGAGAACCTGGGTCCAGGGAAGTTTTGCTTTGGGACCCAGGTGTCCTAAAGTCTTCCTGGGGCACAGTGCCACTCTCTACCCGCCCTGTGCACATGTGCCCGTGCTCACGCCTCCTGCACACACCGCCCACATGTGTACACACACCTTCACATCCCAGGTCTCCACTCTATGGCCCGTCAGGCGGCCATCCAGCCCGTGGCCAGGGGACAGGTCCAGGCAGATGTTGTTCTTACAGGCCTGGGGGCAGGATATGAGCAGGCAGCAAGGGTCAGTTGGAGGAGGGGTCAGCAGACAGAGTGTGGGAGCCAGGGGCAGGTAGCAAGGTCGAGCCAACTGCCTCCCCCCAGTACCTGAGGTGAGTAATGGAGAAGCAGCTTGGTGCCGAGCTCATGCAGTTCACCTTCGGGCTTGAAGGGTGCTGTCTCATTGGGCCCTGGGGGGTGAGCAGGGGGCTTCAGACCTGGCTGGGCCTCTGGCCAAACCCCATCCAGAGCCCACATCTTCTTTGTCTAATCAGAGGACCCCCCAGGGATGCCTTCTCTCCCCAGACCCCTTGTTTCTGGCCTGGGCACTTTATAAGTCCAATCACTCAGCTCTGGGACACTAGGGGTGGGGGTGGAGGGTGGGGGGATGGGCCACATACCTAAGTTGTACAGGACCTGCAAGGACGCCTCCTGCAGGGCTTCATGGAAGATGGCCACGGCCCCCAACTCGCCCTCCAGGGATGTGGGGCTACCCCACCGAGTGTCCTGTGTGCCTGCAAGGGTGGAGCTGATGCTGCCCTCCTGCAGGGGGGCCACCAGCCCGGACCCCCAGCCAAGCCCTGTGGTGGCTGGGACTGACTGGGAGCGGATGAGGGAGGGGTGCGTATGAGCCAGGGCAGTGGGGACTGGCGGCGCAGGCAGCCCCGTGGTGGTGGTCGTCGTGCGGTGCCCAGCGGAGCCGATACAGCAGGAGGAGAAGGGCTGCGGGGCCAGGGTTGGGGGCGTGGTCAGGTCACAGCAAAGCCTGGGGCTCCACTGCATCCAGTTCCACAGTGACCCCCACAGCTGCAGTCCCCAGAGGCTGAAGTCTGAGGCCCCTCCCTGTCCAAGTACCCCCAGTTACCCAAGGCCTCCCCAAACCCAGCTTGGTACACCTACCTCACTGAGGGACGGGCAGCGCAGGGGCGCGGTTTTGACCAGATGGCCATCTTTGTAGACAGAGACCAGGTTCTTATGGCTGAAGAGCAGGCGTCCAGGCACATGGACGATGGCCACACAGTGCTAGAACAGAAGCTACGTCAGGCCATCCACAGGTTGGGGCTGGTGCCCCTTCCACCCCCCTGGGGCAGACAACGAAGGAGGCTCACCCAGGCAGAGTCGGCAAAGGACACTTCAGGCAAGCTCATGGTCAAGTAATCCTTCCGGGTGCACACTGCCACCACTAGGGTCCCAGCCGCCGTGAAGAAGGCCTCAAACCCTGAGCCACTGCTGGTGAAGAAGCTGGGGGCAGGCCAAGCCAGTTATGCCTGCTGGTTCTCCTTCTCACCCTGGCACTCTGCCCTGGTCCCTGGCAGTCACCCACCTGTACAGCTGCTTCCGCTGGAGTGGCCGGGAGGAAGCCGGGGCAGCCACTGCAGCCGTGGGGTGCAGACAGAGCCAGGCATGGAAAGTGAAGCCAGTTCCTGGCCATCGCTGCACAGAGGGCACCATGATACCCGCCATGCTGGGTGTGAGGTCAAAATAGCGTAGGGCTCGTGCAGGGCCCTGGTGCCGAGCCATGCCTGATAACGCACGAATGATGGCACCTGCGTGTCGGGCATTGCCAGCCTCAGCTCCACCCGGCCCTGAGTCCAGCCCTGGTGGGGGGCGAAGCAGGCGACGAAGCTCCAAGGGCCTTAGTGACACGCGGCCCAGTGCTTGCAGCAGCGCCAGCAGCTGCTCCTGGCAGCGGGCCCCCAGGGCTTCCCCCATGCTGAGCGTCTCCAACAGGCAGTCTACAAGGCCAGCCTGCACGCACGTGGCACGGCTGGCGGGGCAGCTGTCACAGAGCCACCAGAGGCGTTGTGCTAGGAAGAGCCGCAGCTCAGCCGTGGGCAGTGCCGGCAGCCACTGCATCAGCACCAGCACCGGCTGCTCGTTGCGGATTGGTGGTGGCGGACATATGCTGTGGTCACCCTCCACGGCCTGTGGGTGGAGAGAATGTGATAGTTCCCAGGCAACTGGCATGGAACAAGCCAACAGTGGGACTTCCTGTCTCAGTTTACTAGCCTACAACAGGGGAAGGCGATGCATGCCCCTTCCCTACCCCGCATCCGCTCACGGGTTGTGTCTGAGGCTCAGGAAAGTCAGAGGTGCGTGCATGACCGTCAGTACTAACAACAGTCCTTTAGCCCCATTAACCCCGAGCCTTGGCTTTCGTTCTGGGTTGGCCCAAACCCCAACTGTGTGTCCCCAGGATAATCCCGGGGCTTGCTAACATGCAGCAGCCTCCAGGCCCCATGCAATCTGGAATCCTCACCCCAGTGACACTGACACACATGTTCAGCCACAGGTCACAATATGTACTGGCCACAGTCAACACAGTCCCCCAAGGTGGAGAGCTGGCCTTCTGTGGTGGCCCTGACTCAGTCCTGGCTGCCCTTGGGACGTTGACACAAGCCCTTGCCCTCACCATGTTGAGCAGCTCTTGCAACAGCCGATGGGTAGGGGGACCATGGCTCTGCAGAACCTCGTGCAGATGAGGGTAGCCGATGCGCTCCTTGAACACCTCCTGTGCAGGGTTATGTGGGGAGGACGTGAGCATGGATGTGGGCCCAGGGCAAACTCACACCCCACGGGAACCCTGGAGGAGGCAGCTGCTTTCAGGGCCCCTCGCCGGGCTCTGCCTCTGGGTCACCATGCTGAAAGGTAGAGGGCTGTGCAGGGATGCCGGGGGCATGGACCCATCTCAGAAGGCTGCAGATGGCCACCACCCCACAAATGTCCTTCCCCCATGCAGCTCTGACCCAGGATATCCAGCTCCCAGGACCAACTGGTGACCATGCCCACCCAGAGGCCTGAGCTGCACCCCCAGAGGGCACGACGGCCACCTCCCCAGCTCACCTGCTCCAGTAGCCACCAACCAAGCCAGTTCTGGGGCCACGTGGTCAATTTAATGCCCACTCCACACCCCTACTGCAGGAGGCCTGCAGTGTCCTCACCTTGGCCGAAGGGGAGCCACTCATGATGCAGGTCAGCACTCTGACTACGTGGACTGCAATGGCATCTGTGTCCTGGTCCAGTACCTTGGGGTGGGGAGGAGCAGTCAGGAGACGCAGGAGCCAGGGCATCGCAGCTCGCAGCACCCTGCAGTCAAAGGGGTCTAGGGCCAGGAACAGGTGCCCCACGGCAGGTAGCTGTGCTGGACTGGGGCCCTGGGAGTGTGGCAAGCCTGTCTGGGCACCAGGCCCTCTACTCTTTGCCCAAACTGCTGTGCCCCTCACCCTGACCCTAGGGCCCTCTCTGAGCAGTTTGGCAAGACCTACTCTGACAAGGAGGCCAGGGAAGGAACCAAGGCTGGGAAGGATCTCATTGGGACAGATCCACAGTGGACCCTCTTGCCACACCCCTCTGCCCCCCACTGTCTGATGGACTTATGGGCCTCAATCCCCACACATCCCCACCCAAGTTAGACACACATATGCAGGCAGGCTGGCAAGTGCCCCATCACCCATGATGATTGACAGAGGGTCGGGGAATTTAGGGACAATCAATCACAGGATGTTAGAACCGGAAGAACCTTCGAGACCTTTGCGTCTTACCCTGCCCCTCATTCCCTAGATCCAGGTGGGGACACTAGGGCGCACCCTGGCTGAACCCAATAGCCAGAGGCATGCAACTCGCTCATCCTGCCCCACCCAAGGGGGTGAGGGGTCACAAGGGCTTGCAGGGTTGTCAGCAGGTGCTGAGCTGTATATTGGCTCCCTGGGGCCTTTGGCCCCAGCTATGCCTGACTCCCCAGCTGACATCAGGCCACCTTCTTCCCTTCTCCAGGCCTGTTTCCTCATCTTAAAAACCAGGGGTCTCGCCTGCCTTGCCTGCTTTGTAGATAGACAACATGCAGGCACTCAGAAAACAGCCAAGTGCATCAGACAAGGGGGGCTGCCTCATGAGGACAAAGCCAGAGTGGGGCTCTGGAGGTTGGGGCCCAGGCACTGAGCCACCAGAGAGAAGGTATGCCATGTGGAGCCCGATACCCTGCACCCTGCAGCCCCCATGCAGGGAGCACATCAGGAGGGGATGGGAGGACGAGGACTCCCAGTGACCTGCTTAGGGCAGGTGCAAGGATCCATGGAAAGAAGTGGCCCCATGTGGGAGACCTCCGTCTCCGTGAGGGCTACAGCCAAACCCCTGCATAGCTATCTGGGTGTCTGTTTCCCCTTCTGTAAAATAGGAGTGGGTGGTTAAGTTTCGAAGGTTCCCTCCAGCTCGGCACAGCCAAACCCCAGTTCCCAAAAGCAATACAAGGCAGGAAACAGATCACTCTTGCCCAATTCCCGAGGATGGGGACTTGTAAGGTGAGTGAGACAGGAAGGGGGCCCTGGCCCCATCACCAGGCCACACCAGGCCTTACTCCCTGCATAGTGCAGGCAGGGCTCGAAGAGGGAGCCCAGGAGATGGGTGCCTGAGCTGGTCAGCCCCAGGGTGGTACCTTCTGGACATCGGGCTCGGTCAGTAACCGGGTAGCCAGGTCACTGTCCCCCTCAGGGGGCGCCCGGGCCTGCAGGTACAGCTGTGGGGGAGGGGGGCATAGGAGGTAGAGGAGAGAGAAGGAGGAAGATGAGGGAAGGGCAGGTTAGAGTAGGACCTGGGACAGCTGCCCGGGCTCTGCCCCGGAGGGAAGGATGCACCCTGAGCCCCACGCTGAGTGCCCCGCCAGGACCTAGGGAAGGGGTGGGGGGGGGTGGGGGGGAGAGCTCAGCCACCCCATATCTTGCTTAGAGGCAGAGTCTGGGGTGGTTAAGTGGGCAAAAGTAGGCACTTCATCCAAACAGCTGAGCCGCCCTCCTGCTCCTGGACTTAGGACGGGGGAAGGGGGAAACACAACAGCCCCCTCTTGTGGGGTACAGAGCCATCCTCAGCCCCAGGCCCTCCTAGTGAACTGCAGGCCATCCCACCAGCTGTGCCCACCAGCCTGGTGCAGCCCACGTTTGCTCAGCCGCAGCTCAGCACCCACACGTGGTCCCCTCAGCCCCTGGGTTCCAAGCCCTCCACCCCAGTCTGGGTCCTGCCCACCTTGCTGTTCTGGATGAGGCGAGTAAGGTGTTCAAAGCAATTGTTGCTGAGGAAGGTGGCCTGCAGCACTGGCCGGTCCTCGCATGCCAGCATCATAGGGATGGCGTCTGTGGAGGGGTCAAAGGTCAACCTTGCCCAATCTCCTCCCAGTAGCACCCCCCGGTCAGCCTTAAACCTTCTTCCCCATACTGCCCAGTCCAGCCTTTCCATCATCACTTGGACTTTTGCCTCCTGGTACAACCTCCCCAAGAGCCTGGGAGCCCATACCCACCGAGCATGCTGACTCGTAGGGTGACAAGGGCCTCTTCAGGGCCTGGGCTTGGCCCAGCTGGCCAATCAGCATTAAGGATGCGGAAGTAACCCTCAAGCAGGGCGCGGAGCTCTGGACCTCGGGGGGGTGTGTGGCTGGCATGCAGGACATGTACTGTGCCCACCAGGGCCTCTAGCGCCAGCGGCACTAGGCGGGGGTCTTGAGCTGGCCCACAGCCCCAGCCCTGCACCACACCCAGCAAGCCCTGCACAGAGCCAGCACTCACAGCCGTCTGCCCATTCTCCTGCAGGTGTGGACAGAGACAGGCAATGGGCAAGGAGCTCACCCAGCAGAGAGACCCTGAGACGGTCACCCTCTGGCCCGTAGGCTCCTCCAGCCTACCTTCCCTCCTGCAAGGACAGCACCAAAGAGGTGGATGAGACGTAGCAGCAGCATGGGAGGCAAGTGGTCTGCATCCTGCAGGCTCTCTGGGTAGGGTGGGGTGGGCAGGACAGGACAGGACAACATCACCAAGTTGGCAGGGCTGTGGATCTACCAGGGGTCTATATAAGAGGTGGGAGCTCTGGAGTGGGGGTGGGGGCTGGGAGGCCCATTCTCAGGGAGAAGACCTGGTTCTGCACTGAAGGGGGAAGAAACGTCATAGCTCTATACTGGGGATCTGAGGGGGACACAGCCCTTCTTTGGGGAACTTATAAGGGAACATGATCTTGCCCTGAGAGCCTAGCCAGCTCCCCAGTTCCTTACTCCACAAAGTGGAGACCTCAGGTGAGCACATCCACTTACTCGCATCCCCATGGCAACCCAGGGTTTAGTTTCTCAGATGCAAATCTTCTGGTCCCTCTGCCCTGTGACAGTTGGAGCTTCCCCCAGTGACCTGCTCTAAGGACCCTGCTGTCTCTGGTATACAGATGCTACCTGTGCCCCCGCTGGGGACTTTTAGGGGCTTTCACAGCCTCATATGTAGAATGGACAGGATGCTAGGCCACAGACTGAAACCCAGAGAGCAGAAAGGTACCAGCCCTTGGTCAAATGGGTGATGTGGGGGTGGGGGAGCGAGAACAGGGCTGGCTTGATTCAGGTGTGGAGGAGTGGGAGGCCTCCTGGAGGCAGAGCTTTTGAGATGAGGCCTAGGAGTGCAGTTGGCAGTTGGCCTGTGAACGGAGAGGAAACAGTGGGCAAAGACCCAGAGGTGGTTACCTAGCTGCATTCTAGGAATGAGGGGACATGACCATGGCTGGGGTGCAGAGAGCGAGTGGGGCTGGAAAGGAAGGCTGTGGCGAGAAGCAGGATTTGATCCTGAGGGTGTCAGGCCACCACTGGGGCATTTAGAGTGGCAGGAACAAAATCTGGTGTGTTTTGAGAAGAGCACTCAGGCCGTGGGAGAATGGAGGCGGGGGAGAATGGACCCAGGCCAGCAACTCCATGGCGTATCCCAGCGACAATGAAATACTTTCTATCCCAATAAGCTACCAGCTTCCTAAGCCCAGCTGCCCCTGTCCAGGCAGCATCCCACCTCGAGCCCACCTAAAATCTTGGCCAGCCTCCCTCGAATGAGAGAAGAAAGGTGACCCAGGAGAAGAGGGTCCCCAGGGAGAACAGGTGACCAGAGACACCCTGCGGGGTGAGCTCCTCCATGAGTGAGGGAGCAGGTGGGTACTGGAGACACCTCATATAGACATTGTCTTCAGGAGGGGTGGAGGCTGAGTGGAGGCTACGGGGACAAAGGGATTGGACCAGGGAGTTTTAAGATGGTCCAGATCAGAGTGGGGTACAAGGGGTTGTGGGGACCCAGGAGATGGGAGGGAAGGGAAATCAACGCCCCCACCTGATGAGAGGCCTTCACTACCGCCCAGAAATTACTCATTTTGCCCAGTCATGCCCTTTCTCTCCTTTCTGCCCCTGAACCCCTTCAAATTCATGGGGTTCTCCCAGACCCAGGTGCAGCCACCACTAAGTGGGTCCTGTCCAGTGTAAGGGTTGGGGAGCTGCAGGAACGGGTTCAGGTTTAGGGGGTGGGGCCAAGTGGGCGGGGGCGGGGCCTGACCTCGGAAGAAGGCGCTGAATTCACAGGGCAAAGCGGCAGGACGGAACTTGTATTTGCTCTTCTCCTTGGCACTGATGACTTCCCTGGGGGTGGAGGTGGGGTGGGCAGGGGCAGGGTGAGGCCAGGCACCTTGCCCCTCCTCAGTCACCCTCCCTTCACCAGCCTGCAAACAGCCACCTTTCCCTCTACAGCCAGCACCATCGTCTCCCCATCCCCTTCTGGGCTCTCACCCGCTGTGCTGGCGGCGCCAGGTCTGGTAGGGGTCAAAGAGGCCCTCACACAGGAGGAAGGCATGCAGGGCCACGTCCTCCAGCTGGGGCCCCCGGCCTTCCTGCTGTGGTGGGTGTCCTTTCAGCTGTAGGCACAGGGAGAGAGTGGAAGGGGGTATGCTGGGCAATGGCTACCACTTGCCGTCCTCCCCGCCCCCCCCCCCAGGTAGAGCCCACATTACCTCGGCCATCAACCGGGTCAGCAGTGCCAGCACCCGAGGCACCAGCACCCGGCCCCGGCCCGCCTGCACATTCTCCAGGTTCCTGGGGAGTGAATGAAGAGAAAGGTCACAGCAGCATGCCAGTGCCCCCTCTGGCCTTCAGTTCCACGCCACCCCACCTTGGGGAGGACAACAGGGACTCACCTGCAGAGGATGATGAAGAGCTTGAGCAGCAGCAGGGCTTGCTCCAGGTCCCCCTCGTCCAGCTGCTTGGCCAACGTATGCAGCGCGTCCAGCGGAAGCAGGGGCACCTCTGCACCTGCTTCCTCCGGCCTGCAGGGAGGCGGGAGGGGTCACTGGGGCACCAAGGACCCCTCAGTATCCCCTCCCCTTGTAGCTCCAGCCTCACCTGCGTGGCTCCAGGGAGGACAGTGAGATGCTCTTCTCGAAGGTACCCACAAAGGCCTTCAGCCACTGCTGCAGGTACCCCAGGTCCTTCTGCAGTTTCGAGGAAACGGATGGCAACAGAAGGGGTACAGTGACAGTGGGGGACAAGGGGATATAGACAGAAGAGGGGAGTGAATGAAGGTGGACACGGGGTGGACAGAGATAGGAGGCAGAGCAGTGGGAGTGAGAAAGGAGGTGAGGGATAGTGTGGGAGGAGGGAGGACAGGAAGTTGGAAGGTTAGCATCAGAGAACTGGCGTACATTGACCCGTCTCCCAGGTCCCCCATCTGCTTTGCAGTCTCTTGCTCCCACCTCTCTAACCCTTGGGGACCCAGGCGGGCCTGACACAGGCAGGGGAGGGGCTTAAGCGTGTACATGCCTTGGGTGTGGCTAAGGCCCACAAGGGTGCGGGGGCTGAAGGTTTTCCACCCATCAGCCAACCCTGACCCTTCAAAGCCTTGGGCTCTTGCCTGCCACCTTCTCCCAGCCCAGCAGCCACCACCTCCAGGAAACTTTCCTTGACTGTAGATCCTAGGGCGCATGTGCACTATCGGCCAGGCAGACCCATGTACACGCACATCTCCCGCACATCCCTCGCCCTGGGAATCTCCGCCCACCCTGACTGGTTACCTGGACCCCAGGCCCCAGAGCTGGTTCCATGGGCAAGAGGGGCAGCGGCTGGGCCCAGCCCGAGTCTGGGAGCTGCCAGGGAAACTTTTGATATGAACGGGGAAACGTCCCCTCAGGCCCCAGTCAGGGCAGGAAGCGCAGAGTCACGGTGGGGGAGGGAGGCCGCTTCCTCCCGGCAGGCGACCGCAGGGATGTGGGGGGGCCCAGGGCACCCAGGGCCCAGAAAGAGAAGCTGTGAGGGACCTGGCCCAGCCGTAGGGGTGGAGCCTGGAGCGCAAAGGGGTGGAGTCACACTGCCTTTTGGGGTGGGGTTGGGCAATTGTGGACCTGAGGCTAGTTTTACAGGCATGAGATGGGGGCCTAGAGTCTGGGCAGGCCTAACTAGGCACAGGTTCTGATCCCTGATGCTATAGTGCCCTTTATTCAAGGCACCTACAGCTCCCTGACCTGGGTCCAAGGCGACTATGTAGAGGACTCATCCATATTGTTGCCCTGCCCCCCTCCCATGTCCTGTCCACCGTACCTAACCGGGCTGGTCTTTTTGCTCAGGGACATAGCTGATTAAATCTTGGCCTACTTCTAATCTGCCCTAACCTCTAAGCCCCTCCCAGGCCACGGAGTAGGTCCTGGACTGGACTTGAGTGAGTGCTCCTCTTATCCTGCCCTGTCTCCCTCCATGCTGGCCCCATCTGGAGCTCCACCCCAACCAGTTGAGTCCAGAAGGCACCTGTCTTTCCCAGGGGCAGAGGGGTAGGCTCAGGACAAATGGGACACATCATAGAGCACCCAGTAACCTGAGGCTTCTCCCCAGAATCCACAGACCTCAACTCAAGGACTTCCAGAACTGCCTTTGGATGGATGGCTAATATTTACCACCAGTGCACCCCAGACCACAGGGCCAGGACTGAATACGCCCCAGGGGAGGGGGCCTGGCTCCAGCAGACTGAGCCAGGCCCCAAAAAAACCTAGGGAGAGCCACCCTCTGCCATGTGGTTGGGCACCTTCCGACCGCATTCTGTCACAGATGTGAGGCCCAGGCAACTCAGAGAGGGGCTAGGGCCACCAAGGTGCAGGCTGACACCACCGTGACTCTTTGTCTGTTAGGTACTTTTGGTGACCTCTCTACCCTCTGCAGCAAGGACACCAAAATGCCCAACCCTGAAATAAGAGCAGGCCAGGCCTCTTAGACCATTTCTTCTGAACTCTTCCCATTACAGATGGGGAACTGGGGAGGTCCCCGAGGGGATGCCTCATCCACTACCACAGCTTCAGCTGCACCTTTGAAGATGCTGAAAGCCAGACCTTTGTTCTAGGCCAGGATCACTCCTGGTTGTCAGCCGCTGGCTCGAGATGACCATGTGACCCCTGATCCCAGCTTCTGTGACCCCACAGATCCCTGTCTACCTTCAAACTTGTCCCAACACCATCCTCTGCTCATCTACCCCCAAACCACCCTCAGTTGTCTCTCATCCAAAATGTGGATCCTAGAAGCCCAAATTTGACCATGTTTCCCCACCCTGACCAGAGGATAAAGGCTCAGCAGCTGAGCCTAGCATTCCAGACCCGTCTGTGGTTCACATCCTCCTGTCCAGGCCTCTGCCCCACTGCTGTCTGTGACTTGGGCTTTTGGTACTTAAGCAGGAACCTCGCACGCTCCCTGTGACCATCACCTGGATAGGTCCTTCCAGACCCAGGAGGGCTCAAACGCTGCATACCCCCACTTTCTGTCTTAGACCCAGGCCGTCCAGTCCTACAAACTTCCAGCAGGTCCAGGCTGGGTTCAGGGCTGAGGCCATCAAGGCACCATCCATGGGCTGTGGATGGGGCCTGAGGGGTCTCTAAAGCACAGTACTAGGCAGGGGTAGGGATAGCTGCCCGTCCTGCCTCCGGGAATCTCACCTCTTGTCCCAGGGCGGCCTCAGCATGGCTCTGACCTGGGCCCTGTGGCTTGAGGCTGCAGTATCTGTCTTATGAGAGCCCCTGCAGGGGCCAGTACCAAGAGGCAGGGCAGGGTAGGGGTCCTTGCGCATGGTGGCAGTGCTGCCTGTGGAGTCTCCCAAGGGCTGGTTAGGCCCAAACAGTTCCTGGGTTCTGCCACCCCCCAGAACTCTGAGGTAACCTCAGAGGGAGGGGTGAAGGCAGGCAGCTGTGGCATGGATGTGTGAATGAGACTGTCTGCCAAGGGGACAGGGACCACTGAGGTGTCTGACACCGTGCTGCCCTGAGACCTGCTTGCCCTAACCCAAGTCTGACATCAGCCCTGGCTTGCCCTGTGTCTTAACTCAGGGCCAGGATCTTGCCTCAAATTGCTCATGCCCACCCTATCACCACCTCACTGGGGGTTAACAATGGGGCAATACACAGAAATTCCTTAAATAGCATCTGGCACCTCCAGTACACATCAGTTACCACCACTGTCTCAGCAGCTAGTCACCCCCCCACCACAAGCTTTAGGGCGAGCCCACAGTCTCCCCTCACATCTGAAGCCCCACTTGGGTGGTGCCTTCATCTCCAGCCTGGGCACACATGCTCACTGGATGCCCCAGCCCAAGGATATTTATCACTCACGGTCCCACCCCCACAGGCCTGCATGTGCTTTGCTTTGTTTCCTCCGCCTAAATGCTCAGCATCAGAGCCAGCACCTTTCCCAAGACCCACCCATGTCTGGTGCTTCAGAGGTTGGGGTTGTCAAATTGAATGTGGTTGAGGGCACGGGTTCTGGAGTCCAGACCTGGTTCTCACACGTGGTAGCTTGTTACTAAACATTAGTCTTTTTGCACTTCAACTGCCTCCTTAAAACCATCCCTTTGCTTAACTGGTAAGGGCTCTCCCAACATACCCACCAGCGTGTGGTAAGGTCAGTGGGAGCTCTGCACTCCCAAGCCCCTGGCATTCTAGGGCAACACTCATCTTCCCACCCACCTCCGTGAGTGACAGATGAGTGGCAGACCTAGGCTCACTGGCAGAGCCAAGGTCTCAGGGGCCACTCGCCAGCTGGCTGTCGCAGGCAGATGGAATGGGAGCGTCTTGGTGGGCCCCAGGATAGTGCTAAGAGCAGGGTGAGGAGAGGAGAATAGAAGCTCCACACTGGTGACTCCTCCCAGTCAGAGCTTGGGTGGTGTGAGCACCCCATCTCCTGGAAGAGGCAAGCAGATATGGGGTAGAGTGGGGTCTGATCAGGACGACCTCTTTCAGGCCTTGGGGTCTCCCCACTCAGCATCAGGAGGAGGATGGCCATATGAAGCCACGGGTGGCTTCTGGCTATATCAAGACTGGAGGTCAGACTTGGAGGACCTCAGACGAGGAGGTCCTCCAAGCAGGAGGATGGAGACTTTGCCAGGGGCAAGGAAAACTGAGAGGAGTGGACCAAGTGCCCAGGTGGCTGGGCCAGTCTCTCCCTGTAACTTAAGGAGGGGGTCCTTAAAGGGGTGGACCTTCTGGTCTCCATAACACCTCCCAGGGCTTAACCTTCCCCTTGTCCTATCATTATGGAAAACAGAAATTTCCTTCCAGGGTCCCCATAGTAACCGACCCTGTTTCCATGGGGACCCCACAATTCCACATCAGCTCCCCAGTTGCCATAACAACTCCAGGGATTACCAGCCTTTCCCTCAACCCTGGGCTCTGTGCTACTCTGCCCATATCCTCAGTTCTGTCCCCTTCAGTTGCCTTGGTAATGAAGACAGGGAGGGGGAAATCCCTGGTTGCCCCTGTGAGGTATGGAGGGGCCCAAGCACCACGGAGGCTATTCCACCTCCTTTTTCCCATTCCAATAGGGTAAACTGAGGCAAAGGAAGGAATATGACCCAGCTAAGGTGCCAGAAGAAGCAGAGGGCCTGACTACATTTCCATGAGGCCAATGGATAGAACTCATGTCAAGGGTGAGGGACCAGGGAGGTGTGGGCAGAGCAAGGTCAACTCCAGCTTTGACCTGACCTCCCTGGAACCGAGTCCTCAATGGTAAAATTGGAAAGTTCAACCTGGGCTCCCCACCTATAACCTGAATGTTTGTCCTATCCTGACCTTTGTGACCTGAGTGCCCGCAACTCTAGTGCCCCCCCCCAGTGCTCCCTTTCACTAGGGGCTTTTGAGTGACACCACTGCTCCATAGGAAAAGGGGCTACTCATTTGCATGTTATTTTGCATCACCTTTACATGCTGCCCAACTACCAGCTTTCTGGGTGCTGTTTCCAATCCTCTTATCCTCTCACCCCCTTCCTATGCTCCCTGGGGAAATCCTGGTGGGTTGAGTCCTCTGGATATGCCCCCTACCAGTCCCCAGGCCTCCCCCTCACTCCTGACAACTTGCCTCTCAAATTTCCCACCATCATGTTCTCATTCCTGCTGTTCCTGTCCCCTCAGCTTTCAAGGCCCAAACTCGGCCTCCTCTGGCATGACTTTCTTGATCGGTCACTGCTATGGCTCTCTCCTCTGTCCAGCCATTTAGCTGGACCCAAGGAGCACCTACTAAATGGGAGGTGCTGGAGAACCACAGAATAGCAAGCACAATGAAGGTTCAAATGACCTTGGTACGACCCTGCCTTGGTTTCCCCACTAGGGCCCTAAGGGACTCAGACTGAATGATGACCAAAGGCACGTGGCCCTCCATCCTCCTCCTTCAGTAGCCACCCACAGCCCCTCCCTCACTCACGGCCCCCCAGCTGAGCAGGGCACACGGAGGTAGGAGGTGGGTAGGTCTGAAACTGGGGTCTGTAAGGGGAAAGGAAGGGCAGAAAGGGGGTTGTTCCCCAGGGCAGGCCACGATCCACAACTGGGGAAACAGGTTTGCCAGCTGATGTCAGCTCTCACTGCTGAAGGGAGAGGCACAGGTGTTGGGGAGCCTTCAGGCTGAGTGGCTGGCCAACTCTGGGGTCTCTTAATATCCTTTATCAGTTCAACCCCTTCCCTTATCTTGTCCCCACCCCCAAGCACACACACAACAGGTCCCTAGCAGGACGCTAAGCAGAAGCGCCACCACTCCCTGGGAGCCAGCACCGAGGGGTGGGGAGGGTATTCCGGGAGCAAGAGCAGCACCAAGTGGGCAGGAAGGTGGTGCAGAGCTTCCTCTCCCCCCCGGTAGCGCGGCCCCGCCTGGCTCCCGGTTCACACTCACATCCTGGATTTGTTTGCCAGGCCCCAGGCTGCCCCCTGCCTCTCCAGGCATCCAAGGCTACAACCAGCCAAACTGTGCCCCATACCTGTCTTTTGAGGTGAGGAGCTGGGGGTGGGGGTGGGGAGGGGACTCAGCACCAATGAGTGCTAAACACCTCCTGAGGAAACAGCGGGGCTGACCGTTTGCAGAGCTCATTTAGAAGGGGTAGCAGGAGGCAACCATGCAGGAGCTACAGTCCTGGGAGACTACGAAGACTCCCTCCCCCAGCAGCACCCCATCTAGCCTGAAGACCCTCCACTAACATCCCTCAGACTCATCATCTGGTTCAAGCCCCCCTTCACCTAGTCACAGGTCAAGAAACTGAGTACCAAGAACCTGCTCAAAGCCACAGAGGCCATCAGAGGCATGATAGCCAGAGGGAGGTTTCCTTCCAAATCTTTTTCTCCCTCACAAAGACCAACCCTTAGAGATGGAGATAGAGGCTGTGGTGAGGAGACCCAGTGGGGCCAGGGAAGCAGGAGGCCTGGACCAGCCATACTTGCTACCCCTCTGCAGACTGCAGGCTACGTCTGAGGACAAGGCTGTACCCAACTTACAGAGAGGGAAGCCCAGAGATATAAAGAGCTTGTCCCGGGTCACACCAAATAAGGACTCTACGCAATGCCTCCTGCCAGGGGCCTGGACTTCTCACCCAGTGGACTCTAGAAGCTGTGGCCCTTATGGCCTGGATTCCAGGTCCCTGGGGCCCCAGACCCAGCCTGCAGTCCTGGGAGACAGTGGGCCAGCCTCTTTACAAAGGGCCAGCTGATCTGAGCATGTACTTCCCCCCAGTGATGAGATCAGAGGGACACAATAGTCCATTGTACCAAGGGCACACCTGAGCCAGGAGCATGATGCCAGGCAGGTGCAGGGAGGAAAGCTGGTGCTGGGTGAAGGGGAGGTGAGAGTTACCCTGGGATCCCTTTCTGTGGTGGATGCAGGAGGAAAGTGGGCTCAATGTGTGTGAGACAGGGTTTGGGGGACACTTGGTTCTCAGCTCTGATAGGACACCTGGGTCAGTCCCTACCTTTACCTTCTGAGGCCAGGTGAGGTAGTCTCTGAGAGCTCAGGAGGAAAGGGCCTCCATCTCTTTCAAACATCCCTCCTAGCTTACCCTCCTACCCCCACACTCTGCATCCAAGGCAAATCTTTTCTTATGGCTGGACCCCTGTCCAGCCTCCAGGAGTCGGGTGGGGCCGCCTGGGGTCAGGGAGGAGCTCAAAACTACAGGTTCTGGGGAGGGGGGTGTGTGTATCTGAATTGACTCAAGTAAGCCCCCCAACCCACTCAGACCTGTTGGCCATGACCACCCAACAGGGCCGCGCCCACAGAAGGGGCAAGCCCAAATGCAAACGAAGTCTCCCTGCCCCTCCCGACCGGACCAGTCTCTCTGGTTCAGGGGCTCAGTTTCCCCATCTGTAAAAGGGGGAAGTGCCGGCTGTCTTGGTCCAAGCCCCACTTCTCCAGTACGACTCCGGTTGCGCGGTCCCCACCCAAGATTTTCTCGTGAAGTGAGCGCCAGCGAGGGTTACCCGCCCCCCGCCACCCCCGGGTATAAGTGCCAGAGGCAACGGCGGGCCGGGGGCACACACGTGTGCGGAGTCCTAGCACGCTCAGCGCGCGCGCACCTACGCGTCCCCGGTGGCGCGGGGCGCAGGTGCAGCAGGCGAGGGGCGCGTGGAGCTGGGGGCACGGCGGGCGCGGGGCGGGGCGGCCTCACCTGCGCGTAGTAGAGCAGCCACAACTTGTAGAGCCGCTCCGAAGCGGCCATGGCCCGGCCCAGCTCCGGCCCTGCTGCGCGCCACCTGCCGCCACCGCCGCCTCCTCCGCGCCGCCCGCCGGTCGCCCTCGGCCAGGCCCATGGGCGGAGGGCGTCACTCCGGGGCGGAGCGGCGCGGTACTACTGGGGTAAGTAGTACTGGCCCCCGCTGCGCTGAGCCACCCAAGTCCGCACACTCCTCCTCCTCCTCCCGGCCAGCCGCCGCCCGGCTTCCTGCACTTGGCTGCAGCCACCGCCGCCCCGCCTCTCCTGGGACCGAGCAAAGGGCGGGGAGCCTTGCGGGAGGAGGAGCCTGAGGTCGGGGCAGCCCGGGAGGGAGCCCCGCAGCCCCGCCCTCCGCAGTCCTCGCCCCGAGTAGTGCCTTAGGAACGGCCAATCTGAGCCTCCCGGACGAGTGTCGGGGTCAGGGATTCCAGACTTATCCTGCGCCTAGATCCGCTCGGGATGCCGCCCGCCTGGCTGGAATTGCCACCATTCGTGCAAGGGACAGGCTCGCGGGTTGTGGGGAAAGGAGCTGCGGGCCGCGGGCCGATGTTCAGGGTCCTTCAAGTCATGATAATAACCATGACAATCACTTGTAGAGCTTACTACGTGTCGGGTGCTGTTCTAAGCGCTTTAGGGGGAGACCAAAGTGCCACTTTTTTGCACCTACTGTTTGTGGAGCAGGATGGGAATCAGAGCAGCAGAACAAGCCCAGACTACCTCGCGGGGAGCATTGCCCTCCATCTGTCGTGCAGATCCCTGGGATATTTAGGCAATCCTCACGGGTCCCCGCCCCCAGGAAGCCTTCCTAGATGCTCTGGTGAAGGCACCCTCCACTACAGGTCCAGCACTTGTTTCACATATTTTGTTGTTTTCTTTAACCTTAAGAGGTTAGAGGCAAGAGGGTACCTTATGCCTCTGTTTTACAGGAGAAACTAAGGCCCAGGTGGTCCAAATGAGGACTACCTGGGCAGCCAAGGACAGCGTGGATGGGGACGGAGGCCTGACTGACTCAGCTGGCCCACTGCCACCATCACCCCTGGGCCCCCTTCTCTGCCTGGGAGGTGAGGGGGCCCCCTGGTGTTGGGCAGGGATCAGGCCCTTTGTTGGGGCTGGGGGAAGTTTGTGGGGCCCAGAGAGATACCATCAGTTGTAGGAATTGATAAGTCTGGAGCCCCCTAGATCTTGGGTGGCCAAGAGAAGACAGATTCTGACCCCATCCCCATCCTGTTCTGTCCTCCTGGTTTCTTGGGCAGCCTCTCCACTCTCGCCTTTTCTCCTGCCCCATCCATCCTACCACTGAGCTGACATTTCCTGAGCACTTGCTACCTGCATACCAGGTACTACTTAGATACCAGGCCCTGGCAGGGCACCCCACCTGATGCGGGGAGAGGGCACCAGAAGGCCCAGGTTAGTGAGGTCAAGAAGGTCGTTTCGGGGGAACAAGATGGAGGCCTGTGGCAAAGGGGCCTTCATCTCCCCAGATGGGAGGGAATGTAGCTTTAGGGACCCCGACGTGTTGTTAGAAGACTTGACTTCAGCCAAACGGGTCTCTCATTTGTCACGGCATGCTGATTAATGCAGGAAAGAAGACCCTGGCAGCTTCTGCTGGGGAGCAGTGCACCTGGTGACCATCTGGTACAATCGAGGCCAAACCAACTCTTAGCTTAGTTCTCAGGAACTAAGCTTGGGGGTTCCTTGGGGTCCACTGGGCCCAGGTTGGGGTTTGCTCTTCTCCAGGTTAGGTGGTCTGACCCTGGGTACTTTGCCATTCCAGGGGGGTTGGAGGCAGGAGGGGAACCTGAAGGGAAATGGCCATCTTTGCAAGCCTTGCAGTGCACAGGCTTTGTCTGAGCAGAGAGTGGACACAGAAAGGCTTAGGGTCCCATGGACATCCAGGGAGCCACTGATAGCTGGACATGAAGGGAGAGGTAGACCTTATTAGGCTAGGGTCGGAGTGACGAGTCAGAGGCGGCTTCTTGAAGGCGTTCGAGTCTTGAAGAATCAGAACAAGTGGACAAAGTTTGGGTCAGCGCATTCCACGTGGCCGGCATGGGGTGAGAGCTGTGGTTAGCGCTTAAGCAAAAAACCAGAGCGATTGATGCGCTCTACTTTCCTTCACTCAGGTCTGATTCCACTTGATGCTTTCTCGCTGATAGGCGTTGGACGCATCAAGCCTTTAGAGGCTTTTTCTTTACCCGCCCCCTCCGAGCGAGGAGAGTTATAGGACAGGAAAGGGGCGGGCCCTCCTATAACAACTCGTCATTGATTGGCTTTCAGGACTTCCTGCTCTCTCATTCTCGTCCCTGGATTGGCTGTGAGAGTCATCTCACTGAGCCTGCGCGAAGCAAGACACGAGACGAGGTGGGGGGGCGTGTCTGCGGGTAACATGGCCGCTACTGGGGCCGGTGTGGGCCGGCTAGAGGAAGAGGCGTTGCGGCGAAAGGAACGGCTGAAAGCCCTACGGGAGAAAACCGGACGCAAGGTGAGGAATGTGGAGTGAGGGCTGTGGCTGAGGTAGCCAGCGTTCGGATCCGGAACAGGGACAAGAGGGCAGAGGACTACCAGGAAAAGGCAGCTGCGAGGGCGCGCATGCGCGCGTGGCTGGAGCATGCGTGAAGAATCGGCGCCCGCCCACCAAGTCTGGTGCTAGCGAGCTCGGGACTCTTCCTGCGTTGGTGCGGTCGTAGCTCAAGCGCGTGGGCTGCAGGGCAGTGGTCAGCTCTTTGCAAGCCCTTTAACTCTAGCCCGATGTTTCCACTTGGGTCTCCAGGAACGTTTACTGTTTTAGATGCTCGTTGGTTTCGGCCTGATCGGTTTGTGTCTGAGCGCGCTGAGTCTTCCGTTTTCCGATGACCTAGTCGGCCCTTGGTGAAATTTCTTGAGTATGGCAGACCTTCCCCTTGCCCGCCAGCTAGCCTTGGGCAGGGCAGTACGGAACTGTGCTCTGGGCGCTTTGCTGGAATCGTTGAGTACAAGAATCCAGAAGGAAAGACCCATTTCCAGGTCAGGGAGGACCTCAGGAAAAGAGGAGGCCTCGGCTAAGTGTTTTCCCAGTCTGTTTCTCGGGGTCGACCTCCTAGGCCTATTAGTTGCCATACTTGGAAGTTGTTTTTCTTGTTCTTGTTTGACACCGAATGGTCTGATTCCATTTCTACTTTGTTCATTTTCCCGAAGTAATTTGAGGAGAACTCTGAAGTTCACTACATATGTGCAAATTCTGGCCCTGTCACTTGGGGCTGTGGGAGTTGGGACAAAGTGCTTCATCTCCTTGAGCCCCCGTGTTTTCATATCTCCTGTGTAACAACCCCTATACATTCATTCTCACTGAATTATTTTGAGGTCTAACAAGATAATCTGTTTGAAAGGTCCTTAGAGACTACAGAGGGTGGAAATTGTTGGTTCTGTTGCTGTTAGGTGGGCAAAAAAGTCTACCCTCGACTCTACAAAATACAAAAGATATTAAATATCTAGACCTGCGAGGGATGGGGGATACAGGGACCCCACTTTCCAATTTGAAAAAATCAGGCTGGTCAGTCTGGCCCGTTTCCTTTCTGCATTGCTGGCTGGTATCCTGTGAGAAAGTGAAAGGAGAAGTAATTGAGAGAGAAAGCTAGCCAGATTGGCTTCTGCTTTTGTTGGCAACTTGCCAGCACTGTCCGTGTCCCGGCAGACCACCTGGCCTGGGGAAGCCCAAGTCTCAGCCTTTCAACAATGGCTAGTCAACCTGCCCTGCTGGCTTGGGCTCAGGGCCCAGATTATTGGGACTGGGTTTGAGGTCAGAATATTAAGGATAAGATCGCATCTGTACGGCCCATGCCATGGGAAGGAAGCCCAGGCCATCAGGAGAACCGACCTGTAAAGGGGGATTCTCTCAGTGGGCTGAAAATAAGGCCTGATTGGTTTTTTTTTTGGTTTTTGTTTTTTTTTAACTTTTTTATTGTGGTAGAATATACATAACATAAAACTTGCCACTTAGAGTGTAGAGGTCAGTGTCATTAAGTACATTCACAATGTTAGGTAACGATACCACTCTGTTTCCAGAATTTTTTCATCATCCCAAATGGAAACTGTCCCCGTTAAACACTAACTCCCAATTCCCCCTCTTACCCAGCCTCTGGCAACCACCGTTCTACGTTTTGTCTCTATGAATTTGACTATTTTAGGTATCTTACATAAGGATAAGTGGAATCAAATAGTATTTGGCCTTCTCTTTCTTGCTTATTTCACTCAGCATAATACCTTCAAGGTTCATCTGTGTTGTAGCATGTGTCAACATTTAATTCCTTTTCAATGTTGAATAGTATTTCATTGTATAAACAGTTGACCCTTGAACAATGTGAGTTAGGGCTCCTAACCCCCTCCCTCCAATCAAAAATCTGTGTATATCTTAAGTCGGCTCTTCTTGTGCATGGATTCTCAACCACGGATCAAAAACACTGTTTTTAATCTGAAAATGCTGTTAGTTGAATCCACGGGTGCGAAGCCCAGGATACCAAGGGCCGACCGTATTTATTGAAAAACAAATCCTCATATAAGTGGACCTGCACAGTTCAAACCCATGTTGTTCAAGGGTCAACAGTATACCACATTTTGTTTATCCATTCATCTTGGGTTGTTTCTAGCTTTTGGCTGCTGTGAGTAATAAATATCTGTTTCAGTCCCTATTTTTAATTCTTTTGGGCGTATGCTCAGAAGTGGAATTTGGGGATTATATAGTAATTCTATGTTTAACTTTTTAAGGAACCTCCATACTGTTTTCCATAGCAGCTGTGTCATTTCCCAGCAGCAGTGAACAAGAATTCCAGTTTCTCCACATCCTTGTCAACACTTGTTATTTTCTGTTTTATTGATTATAGCCATCCTAATGGGTGTGAAATGGTATGACATTGTGGTTTTGATTTGCATTTCCCTAACGATTACTGATGTTAAGCATTGTCTTGTGCACCTGTGGCCATTGTGCATCTTTGGAGAAATGTCTACTCAGGTCCTTAGCCCATTTTTTAACTGGGTTTTGTTGTTGTTAAGTTGTAATAGTTCTTAATATATTCTAGATATTAACCCCTTATCAAAAGATGTGTGATTTGCAAATATTTTCTCTCATTCTCAAGGTTGTCTTTTCACTTTCTTGATAATGTGCTTTGATGCAGAAAGTTTTTAATTTTGATGAAGTTCAATTTATTTTTGCTTTTGATCCTGATTTTGATGTCATACCTAATGAACCATTATCAAATCCAAGATCGTGAAGCTTTCCCCCTATGTTTTCTTCTAAGAGTTTTATAAATTTAGCTATTACGTTAGGTCTTTGATCCATTCTGATTCAGTTCTTGTATATGGTATAATGTTAATATGTTCTCTTGCATGTGAATATCCAGCTTTCCCAGTATCATTTGTTGAAAAGACTACTTTCCCTATTGAATGGTTTTGGCACCCTTGCTGAAATCATTTGACCACATGTGAGGGTTTATTTCTGGGCTGTCCATTCTATTCCATTGGTCTATATGTCTGCCCTTATGCCAGTACCACATTGTTTTGGTTACTGTAGCTTTGTAGTAAATTTTGAAATCAGGAAGTAAGTCCTACAACTTAGTTCTTTTACAAGATTGTTCTGGCTGTTCAGGATCCCTTGAGATGCCATATAAATTTTGGGATGAATTACCTATTTGTGCAAAAAACTCCATTGAGATTTTTATTGGGCTTGCATTGAATTTGTAGATCATGTTGGGTAGCATTGCCATCCTAACAATATGTAAGTCTTCCAGTCCATGAGCATGGGATGTTTTTCCATTTACTTAAGTCTTAAGTTTCTTTCAGCAATTTTCTCTAGTTTTTACTGTACAAATCTTTAGCCTCCTTAGTTAAATTTATTCCTAAGTATTTTATGCTTTTGGTGCTGTTGTAAATGGGATTGTTTTCTTAATTTTCTTTTCGGATTGTTCATTATTCGTGTGTAGAAATGCAACTGATTTTATTCTCTTGCTTTTGTATCTTGGAACTTTGCTGAATTTATTAGTTCTAACAGTTTTTGTGGAATCTAGAGTTTTCTGTAAGATCATGTCATCTGTGAACAGAGATAATTTTACTTCCTCTATTCCACTTTGGTTGTCTGTTATTTATTTTTCTTGCCTAATTGCTCTGGTTAGAATTTTCAGTAATGTGTTGAATAGAAGTGGTGAAAATAGGTATCCTTGTTCCCAACCTTACAGGAAATCTTTCGGTCTCTTATCATTGAGAGTGATGGTCACAGTGGGTTTTTCAAATATGGCCTTTATTTTGTTGATGAAATTTCCTTCTATTTATAGCTTGTTGAATGTTTTTATCATGAAAGAGAATTGAATTTTGTTAAATGCTTTTTCTCCATCAATTGAGATGACCACGTGGTTTTTTCCTCTTTCTGTTGTATTACATTGATTGTTGGATGTTGAACCGTCCTTGTATTCCGGGAATAAATTCCACTTGGTCATGGTTTATAAACCTTTTAATGTGCTGCTGAATTCAGTTTGCTAGTATATTATTGAGGATTTTTGCATCATTGTTCGTGAGGGATATAGGAGTGTAGTTTTCTTGTAGTGTTTCGGCTTTGGGATCAGGGTAATGCTGACCTCATGAAATGAGGTAGGAAGTATTCCCTCTTTAATTTTTTGGAAGCTTTTAGAAGGATTGGTGTTAATTATTTCTTAAATGTTTGGTAGAATTCACCAGTGAAGCCATTTAGCCTTGGGCTTTTCTTTGTTGGGAGGTTTTTGATAACTTATTGAGTCTCATTATTAGTTGTAGTTCTATTAAAATTTTTATTTCTTTGTGATTCAGTTTAGGGTACATTGTGTGTTTCCAGAAACTTTTCCATTTCTTCTAGTTCATTTAGTTGTTGGCATACTAATTGCTACTTTAATTGGGTTTAATCTTCATAATTCTGGCTTCAGAAAGATGTTGGCTGTGAACTCATTTCTGGAAAATGTGCGTTCGGAAGTCACATGGCTTCTCTCTTGGAATTGAGAGCTCACTGGCCTTTAGAGTTTCCTTGCATTTATTTTAAGAAACAAGAGTTATTGTGAAGCCGCATTCTTGACACCATTGGAAGCTTTTTTCTTTCCTGGCGTGCCTTTTCTTTCAAGGAACTCCTAGTTTTTCCACTCTATCTAGCCTTTCTCCTGCTTAGAAAGGGGAAGTTGGAATTTGTTGTTGATTCTTCAGCTGTTAGGCTGAGGTGTCAATGGTGGATCAGTAGCAGGTGATAAAGAGTTGTTTGACTTGGTTGAAAACAGGTTATTGGAGCTGGTAATTCATTTCTTCCACAGATGTATACTGAGCACCTACTATGTTCCAGTTATTCAGGCACTGGAGGCCCAATAGTGAGTGAGCGAAGCAGCAGACAGAAGCTTCTGCCCCAAGAAGCTTCCATTTAGCCAGAGAGACATAGTCAAGCACATATGTCTAGTGTTAGATGGAGATGCTGCTATGCAGAAAAGGAAAGAAGGAAAGAGA